AGGGTGGTTGGGTTGTCTTCAAATGTTGAAGAGGCAGTAAATTTAAGTGAGTTTAAGAAAAAGCTTGATAAGTATATCAATGAAAAGGGCTGGGTTTAAAATGTTTTAAATCATTTTAATTTAGTTTTGAGGATGGAACAGCTGAGATGGAGCAATAAGTCCCATGTTGTCCCAAAATATTATGTTATGTTATTTATTCACAGTTTGATATATACGCTCAGGATTAGTAACGTGCACATTTTTGAAGAAATTACCACTAAAGATACTATAGAAATTCATTTAATTTGAGATGTCCAGACTGTATACTGTTTACTTTACACTGAAACTATCTAGCCTATATAAAAGCCAGTGTGCGTGTGTCACGTCACGCTTGATTTCTCAAAGTAGGAGGAGTTATAAAGGCCAAAATGCATTTATACAAATAGAATAGTTCGATTACTGTCTACCCAGTACAATTTTAGTGACAGGAGTTCAAGGGGGCCATGAAACCTTATAAGTGTAGTGAGTGTTGGTATAATAAGCCTAAAGTAAAGATGTAGTGTGGGATCACCAAGCCTAGAGCCAAGTGCATAAAATTTATCATGAAAGTAAAAATATCAATTCAATTTTAAATTTAAATCATTTCTGAATTAAGTTGTTTTCTGTTATATCACCAATGTTTCTAATAAAAAATGAACCTCTTTAATCAACAGACTCTAAGTTAACAAACCAACAAATAGTTTTCCAGTTTTGCTGTCTATACATTTCATTTTATACTTTCAATAAATAGACTAACAGCAATATTAGGTTATACTTTTGTTACTAAGCATAAAAGCCACTGCTGGAACATAGTGTTACCAAAATGCACTGGCTTTTCTATATATCAGAAGTTGTTAATCTAACTGATTTTTACCAATAATTATTCTATGAATCCATCATGAATTCATTTCATGAATGATCTTAAACTTGATTGGCTCACAAAAGAATTTACCAACGTTTGACTGCTTCGACTGCACTTTTCTGCCTCTTTGTTGGTCCAGCTTGATTTCACGACATTTATTTATTTCAGTTAGCTATGAAACGTGAGGTTAGGGTATACTATGGGGTGGGGGTGGTAGTGTTTGCCCCATCAAGTTTGACGGGCTATACGCGAGTAATGAAAATCAACCAGGTAAGAATGTCTATATTATGTAATGTGGACTGCAGTTTCTTCTATTCAAGGCTCATCAGTATAGCTTAGGTCAGCAAACCAAAGAAATACAGTAAGGCTTCTTATGTTCTAACATTTTCACACACTTAAATTAATTTAGGTTACTGTATGGTGATTTAGAAGGACTCAATAACCCCATAGGTATTATAAACAGGGATTTTTTCAAAAAACTTTAAAACCTACATACCACACTTACCTTACAAGAAACTTTATTGGAAGCCACTTTAATATTGTTTTTCCAATCCCAAACATTAACTATCATGTCATGTTGGGAGCCTACAGACACTACGTACTTCAGGTTAGGGGAAAAAGCCTATAAAGAATTTTAAATATCACATTTTAACAAAAATCTTTCAAACTATAAAAATATGTCTTCTATAGAAGACATTTAAAATTTTCTGTATAAAAATTCTGATAAGAATTCTACATACACTACTACCTTGACCACTGAAGTCTCAAAGAGAAAAGTTTGATCTAATACAGTGACTAACTTTATCTTCAAATATTTTCTGCACAGTGAGATATATATGTAACGATCAGAACTATTCGTTAGGCACATCTGCAATTATATTAAAGGTGTTGTTATCTTATTGCCCTCAAAAACATTTATACCTAAACACTTCTATACTTGAGACAATATGTTTATAGAGTTATAAGGAAGGAAAAAAACCTTACCACACAGTTGATTCCAAATTTATGTCCAGGGAACTCTGCAATCTGTGAACAATCCTGTATGTCCCAAACTCTGAGATGAGGTTGATGTCCACACTACAAAATAAAACAGTTCTGGACTAAGAATATCCTTATAAATTATACACCTTGATGTGAAGCTAATGTACAAACTATAAAATAAAACAGTTATTAGCTGAGAGACAATTAATTTATAATAACTTTGTATATAACTTTCAGTTTCACTAATTTTTAGAAAGGCTTGTTTATGGCCCCAAACTGTATGACTCTCAAAATAATGAGCTTATTCTTCTGAATATTATATAAAAAAGTAGTAGTATTTAGTAAGTAAGTTGAATAATATGGGTGCATTGGGCTAAGGATTTTTCTACAGTAGGTGTCTTTGACTTGTTGGTGATAAATTCAAAAATTCACACATCACATTGTATATAACTTTAATTTTCCAAGCCAGTTCCCTTGGCTGTGGTTTCGCACTACAGACATCATAGGCATATCATAAACACTATATATAAAGTTCTCTTCTTCTTGTCAAAAGTCCACTTAGGCCTATTCAATTGCTTTAGAATTTCAGTTGACAAGCTGAACTACTTTTCTCTATTTCTATTGCGCTAGTATTCCATGTATAATTCACTTACAATTATAGTGTGAGTTACCACAGTCGGATACTGCTCTTCCAGTAATCGCCTGGTCCTTGTACTTCAGATATCATCTGCTCCTTTTGTCAAAGTGCACTGAGGCTGGTTC